AGCGACTAGGACATCCCTAAAGCTATGCGCTGCGACATTATTGTCTAGCTTGTATCCCACAGAGGGCAGGCAAAGAAACAAGTAGGCGATGACGCCAGAACAATTGTGTCTTCCAGATTTTCACTTCCGTTTCTCCGTTTGGGGCTTGCGTCAAACAAAGCAAGAAGATGTAAATAGCGGGACAAAAAAAAAAACACCGGCCGCCATTATCTAACGCATTCCTCGCTCAAGTCTAGCTGCTGAACTTATTTTTTTAAACCAGAAACAATTTAATTTTCGTTTTAAAAATCGACGGGATGGAACGATTTATGTGAACTCTTGCACAGTTTGTATGGAGGGTATCTTTCGGATATTTCTTTCAGGGGGGGGGGGGGGGGGGCTTAACATTTATGGTCGAGCGTACTTAAAATTTCCGGAGTAGGCGGATCTAGGTTATAAGTATAGATTTCGTATAAAAAGTTTTGTTTTCATTTCGCCCGTGGGGGTGGGGGGTTGTAGACGTGATCCGGTGTTGGAGATGGAGGTGGGGGGGGGGGACGAGTACTGCCTGTCGAAAAAATTCCTGAAAGAAACTCTGTTAAGGTATAATGCTGGTTTTAAGCCAGTGCTTAGTGTTTAATTGATAATAGCTGGTGTTTAGAAGGCGTTTAGTAGGTGGTTAGAAGGTTTTTAGAAGGTGTTTAGAAGGTGTTTAGAAGGTGTTTACAAGGTGTTTACAAGGTGTTTAGTAGGTGTTTTTGTTTGGCTGCTGAACTAAACGATAAATTGTCTACAGTAAATAGAAATCCCAAACTGAACAAATTAAACCTACAGAAATATTTTAATTTAATTTTCAGAAGGCAGTGTTAAGTTTAGATACAATGTAAAGTTTAGAGGCAAAGTAGTGTTTACATGCAAGGTAAAATTGAGGTGGAAGTTGAAGTTTCAAGGCTATGCAAAGTTTCGAGGATATGTAAAGTTTAGAGGCTATGTAAAGTTTAGAGGCTATGTAAAGTTTTGAGGCTATGCAAAGTTTAGAGGCTATTTAAAGTTTAGAGGCTATGTAAAGTTTAGAGGCTATGTAAAGTTTTGAGGCTATGCAAAGTTTAGAGGCTGTGTAAAGTTTAGAGGCTATGTAAAGTTTAGAGGCTATGTAAAGTTTAGAGGCTATACAAAGTTTAGAGGCTGTGTAAAGTTTAGAGGCTATGTAAAGTTTTGAGGCTATACAAAGTTTAGAGGCTGTGTAAAGTTTAGAGGCTATGTAAAGTTTAGAGGCTATGTAAAGTTTAGAGGCTGTGTAAAGTTTTGAGGCTATACAAAGTTTAGAGGCTGTGTAAAGTTTAGAGGCTATGTAAAGTTTAGAAAAATTAGGGATCTCGTTAAGTTTATTTGTTAACAAAGTAAAGACTCGCGATGTCAAAGTTTCGAGACACGAAATTTCCTGGTATTTTGAAGTTTATAACATTCATATTTTTGTTAGCTTTCCGCTCAGTTCATGTATAAACGAAGCCGTTTAAATGTTAGAGGTCGAATCGAGATATTCATTACATAAAACGATGACGAAATGACCGACGTCTGAAGAAAAATCGGGTTTTAAGATTTCGTACTGTCGACATTGAAAAAGTTCCAACCAATCTTTTAACGCCCAGCGGGAAGCCAAATAAAACATCAGATTAAGGAGAGAGAAAACGGCCGAGATTTTTGTCTGTTGTGGTACCAGTTTAGTTGTCTCACCCCCCCCCCCCCCCCCCACCACCACCACAATGCGAAGGTCAATCCATTTTTTGCGGGGTTTCCTAATAGATTTCCTCCCCATCTCGTAATTATTTTTGACACCCACATTCTGAAACCCCATCCCTATAGAGAGCAAGAAAACACCCAGCTATCTCAGGTTCGATTGTCGGTGTTGACTGTAAATGTTGATACAAGAAACATCCCGGCTGTTTATGATTCATGTGTTGGTATTTAATCATGTTAGAAATATAAATAGATACACATTTTTAAAGGAATATCAATTGTTTTTAGCACGTAATTGTTGGGAGGCTCCTGTCTTTATAGATAATAGAAGTGATAAGAAAACCAAACCAGTGATAGCCCAGACATTTTATTGAAAAACTACAGCGCTAAATGTCTGAAAGCCATAAAACACATCAGTCAATATAGTATTTTTTTGTTTTCTACCGTACCAGTGATACCACCTTAATGATCTGTCGTACCAGTGATGCCACCTTAATGATCTGTCGTACCAGTGATACCACCTTAATGATCTGTCGTACCTGTGATATCACCTTAATGATCTGTCGTACCAGTGATACCACCTTAATGATCTGTCGTACCAGTAATACCACCTTAATGATCTGTCGTACCAGTAATATCACCTTAATGATCTGTCGTACCTGTGATATCACCTTAATGATCTGTCGTACCAGTAATATCACCTTAATGTTTGAAAGCTAGAAAACATATCAGCCAGTCTAGTATTTTGGCTTTCTGTCGAACCAGTCCTGGCACCTTAACCAATAAAAACATGTCCGCAGCGTTCCTGCAAAAACTTGGGACCACCAAGTAGAATAACTGAGGGTGTGTGTGGGGGGGGGGAGGGGGCATTGCGTGCATCAGTGTGGAAGTACTGTAGCTGCTCATTGGAAACCCGGGCACAATGTGGATGCACATAATCAAATAGAACCCAAAGTGTGAAATATATTCGGTCTGGTGACAAGGTTTTTTGGGCTGATGTTTTCACACAAACACGAAGATTGGGAGAGGGTGGGGGAGGGGGTGTTTAGATACAGAAAATACAGCAAGTAAAGAGTATTGTTTGAAGAGTTGTAAGGACATACATGGTAGGACATACTAGAGCAGAGAGAACATTATAAGGAGAGGGAATGTGAATAGAGAAGAGTATGAGTTAGGTTAGTGTGTCGTAGAGGATATTATAAACAGTAGTTAATGTATTGTGGGTGGGGGAAATATAAGAAGAGTATAAGAGAAATTTTATTTTTTGTGAGCGGAGTATTCTGCTTTATTTACGAATTCAACACAAATTTTTGTAAGTTAGTTTTTTTTCACAGATTTATTCCCTAAATAAATATTGACTATCTCAAAGACTGTCTAAAATAACGGTGTTGGCCTCTAAGATATTAACTACACGATCGTCAACAGCATACACGTTTCAGGGAAATAACTTATAGTTGTTTTGTGTTTGTTAGGGACACAACTTAAAATGGAAAAATTACGTAGGTGCTGATTTAAACATTATAGGTGGTGGGGGGGGGGGAGAGAGAGAGAAGAGAGAGAGAGAGAGAGAGAGAGAGAGAGAGAGAGAGAGAGAGTTAAAGAGAAATCAGCAGAGGGAAGAAGCTGAAGAGAATGGGAGAGAGAAAATGGGAGAAAAGTGAAAGAGAGAGCAAGAGGGAGACAATTTGTTGGAAAACAGCCAGGATACCAGAGTAAACAAATAGCTGCCCTTACATTAATGACAGTAGTTTTATTAATTTGTGTTTCCGGATATCAAGTTAAAAACATTTCCGACAAAAATCCGGCGTATGAGCATGTTTCTGCGTTAATCGTTTAATAATTAATCCATTGCGAATTTCATTGAGAACGTCATGCGTGTTAAATATTGAAGTGGTTACAAATTTTATTAAAAACTTTGGGTGCGGGTTAATTAGTTAATTAGCTCATAATTATGGTGTTCGTTACTGTTTTGATACAAATCGCGTGGGGTTATAGCCTATGAAGGGGAGGTAACAATAATTGCCTTGTTGTGTACACGAACTCCACCACTCCCAATAACCCCGACTAATTTCCTTAATTAAACCGCGGCACGCTTCCTGGCACATACTTAACGGTTATCTGAAGAAGAAGGTGTGTTTAATTAGAACCTTCCAGACTTTTCGCCCAGAACCCTCAGCTACAGCTTCACTCAGAGCCCTCTATTACAGCTTCACTCAGAGCCCTCTATTACAGCTTCACTAGGAGCCCTCTATTACAGCTTCACTAGGAGCCCTCTATTACAGCTTCACTCAGAGCCCTCTATTACAGATTCACTCAGAGCCCTCTATTACAGCTTCACTCAGAGCCCTCTATTACAGCTTCACTCAGAGCCCTCTATTACATATTCACTCAGAGCCCTCTATTACAGATTCACTCAGAGCCCTCTATTACAGATTCACTTAGAGCCCTGTATTACAGCTTCACTCAGAGCCCTCTATTACAGCTTCACTCAGAGCCCTCTATTACAGCTTCACTAGGAGCCCTCTATTACAGCTTCACTCAGAGCCCTCTATTACAGCTTCACTTAGAGCCCTCTATTACAGATTCACTCAGAGCCCTCTATTACAGCTTCACTCAGAGCCCTCTATTACAGATTCACTCAGAGCCCTCTATTACAGCTTCACTTAGAGCCCTCTATTACAGCTTCAATCAGAGCCCTCTATTACAAACTCACTCAGAGCCCTCTATTACAGCATCACTCAGAGCCCTCTATTACAGCTTCACACAGAGCCTACCTTTGAAAATCTTACAAGTTGTTTTTACAGTGTGTGCAGAAACGTGGTTACAGCTTTTTTTAGAATTGAGTTCTAATTAGCCTTTACAAGAAGATCTTAATGGTTTTAGAACATTTTAGAGAGTAGATCTATTTGTAAGAAAAAATTGGTTTAGAGAGTTTTGCACCAAGAAGAAGGCGGGTGCACAACTGGCTTGCCACATTGGAGTGTCATCAGCCAAGTTTCCCTGGCCAATCTTATCGATCATTCAGTGCGGTCCTAGACTTGTATACGGAGAACCAGATTTTTGTGTGCTTAGATACTGGCCTAACCTTTATGTAATAGGTCTAGTATACGCAGATAATATTTAATGACAATTGTTTGTGTTTTTGCATACACAAACAGTAGTAATTCGTCTGCTTTTGTGCTTATGTGTAGTATTATCCATAAACTTAGTCGCTGGTAGTGTCAAAAGTTGGATTAAATGCATCAGACAAACCAGTTTATAAACTTTGAACTTGTACGCGGACGTGCATGAGAGACTGTTAATTTCCTGCTAACAAATGAAGTAAGGGACCAACCACGATGGATTATTTTCTGTTTTGTTACCTGATATTGTTGGTTCATAATGTTAGTCCAGTTATCATCAACAAGCCTAGGGCTGAAACCACAACAGGTAATCTTTTTTTTAAATCTACGAGCTACTGTCCTCTCTCAGTCTAAATATACATAGCTGATTGTTTTAATATTTCTAGAACTATGCCTTAGAGGATAATGTTTTAATTGCCTGCACATTTATCAATAATGTTTTAAAACTTTGCATTAGAGTGTAATGTTTTAATTGCCTACAAATGTATCAATAATGTTTTAAAACTTTGCATTAGAGGATAATGCTTTAATTACCTGCAAATTTATCTTTAATTCTATAACTTTCTTTAAAGTAAATATTTTCAACATTTGGTGTTCTTTATGCTAATTTTATACCTTATACTTAAACACCCTGCATACCTAATTAACATTGTTAAAAAATATATATTTACTTCTCATAACGAACATGTTAATACAAAAGCTAATTATCCAATTTAATGACATTAAAATAATCGGAACGATTTTAAACACCGATACCCTTGCTAATGGCCAAAGTTAAATTGAATTATTTTAATATAAATTACGTTATTTAATATTGAGGGGATCCCTTCCAACACTAAAATTAATTTCCGAATAAATGAATTTGCCCTGAAATAAATGTGCGCATAAATTGAATAAAATTCTAAACTAATATCTCAGTAAATAAAATTAGATTCTAAATTGATGTCCAAATAGATGTAATTGTTTTAAATTATTCCTAAAAATAATTACATTATGTTCTAGAATAATATCACGGTAAACACAATTATGTTCCATAAAAAATGTAGACGTTAACTTTAAATCGCTTCTAAAACCTCGTGAAACGAATTAAATTCTTACGTCTGTCCCAAACGTTTTCACCTCCCCCCCCCCCCCCTTCCCCCATAATTAACGTAAACACGCACAACATATACCCTTAACATACATATGATGGAATCTGTCAAAAGAAAAAAAATTTGTAGTTATTTATAGGCTTGCCTTGCTGCTGTTTCAATCGCCATCATTAACATCATGTCTACCATACTCATAATGAACTCTACTTCCCCGTCATTACCATCATGTCTACAAATTACAGCAGGAACTCTACTTCCCCCTTCCCCATCATTACCATCACGTCTACCATACCCATCATGAACTCTACTTTTCCTTCAATACCATATTGTCTATCAAATACTAAGGGAACTCCTAACTTACTTTCTCTAAAATGGAAAAAATTTGTTTCCACCAAGTGACGACTAAAAAAAACTTGAGTGTTGTGAGACAGTGACTCAAGCTCTGTTCCTTGTGGTGTCTGTTCCTTGTGGTGTCTGTTCCTTGTGGTGTCTGTTCCTTGTGGTGTCTGTTCTTTGTGGTGTCTGTTCCTTGTGGTGTCTGTTCCTTGTGGTGTCTGTTCCTTGTGGTGTCTGTTCATTGTGGTGTCTGTTCCTTATGGTGTCTGTTCCTCGTTGCCCTATGTTCAAAGTACTTTCTCGTTCTCGGAAAAAGTTGTCCGGGCTGTATTGTCCTAGCGCACATTGTGTCTATACGTTTTTCTGTTAGCAAGTCTTTCTGATAGCAAAGCTTGCTGATAGCAAGTCTTTTTGTTAGCGTCTTTCTATTTGTAGGTCTTTTTGACAGCAAATCTTTCTGATAGCACGTCTTTCTTTTAGCAAGTCTTTCTGTTAGCAAGTCTTTCTGTTAGCAAGTCTTTCTGTTAGCAAGTCTTTTTTGTAATCGTTCTAATAGCAAGTCTCTCCAGCATTCAGAGACTTTATCTAAGCTCGGGTTCGCCATTTGGAGCTTCCTCTCCTAAAAGGAAACTGTTTCTTTGAGAACAAGCCGTCTAAATTGGACGATCATTTACCCAGTTTCTGTCTACAGAATAGAGCAGAGCCTAAAATAGCATCCACCGCTAGAGACAGCGCATAATTTTGTCTGGTCTTACAGGGGACATGGAAACTTTGTGCGATGTGATCTAATTCACATCAATGATCAGTGGATGGTAGATCAAATCAGATCAGTGCCATCATTTTAAGTCTCATCAATAACACTTAATTCAAGTCCGATCAATGACATTTAATTCAAGTCACATCGTTGACATTTAATTGTCACGGAAGTGACATTTAATTTAAATGACATCAATGGCATTTAATTCAAATGACATCAATGACACTTGTACGAGTCGCAGCATGATTCTTATTTTATTTAGCATTTTTAACATTTCGACTACCACGAGCTTTTTTACTTTCTCGTATATACGAAGTATAGAGAAAGTATTGTAATCGTGCAAATAAAAAATCGAGATTTTTAGAAATCTCGACGTTTTACACCTCACTGATACGGAAAAACATAATTTTGCAATCTTGTCCGTATGTCTCTGTGTCTGTCTGTCTGTCTGTGTGTCCGTGTGTAAACACGATTACTTGAGTACCGTTACAGCTTGGTTGATGAAATTTCCTATATAAGTATTTTATAAAAATCGTAGATCCCTATCAACGTTTGAGCGATTTCCGATAACCGGAAGTGGTACTTTTCCTACTTTGAATTTTTCAAAAGCCTATAACTTGAGTACTATTTTAGATAGATAAATGAAATTTCACATGTAAGTAAAATATCTAATTCTCTACCTTCTTTCAAATTTTGAGTAATTTCCGTTGACCGGAAGTACTATTTTTCGCTATTTCAGATTTCTCAAAAAACGCATGTAAATTTATAGAGTACTAATAATATTGCGCACTATTATGCACATTTTGTTTTGGCGTTCGCTTGGTGCGCAATTCTTTTTTCTATGAGATTCTATTCTATTTTTAAAAGTTTAAGTAATTAAAAATCATGTCTACATTCCAAGTTATATAAGAATATTCGAGAAAGTTTAGGGGAGATCACTCCCGGTTTATTTTCCTATTAGACAAGTTAAAGTAAAGTTAATTTTGGAACCCACCCGAAGGAACATGGGAAAAGTGAAGTAGAGTTCACCTCTTTCTGTGACAGATTATAACTAGAGTTGTGTTTAGCACTATGCCCAGCCGTTTTACTTTCCTACCGTCAGTTAGGTGCCCATCAGAGCGGAGCGGACTCGTGGACGTTGTAAAGAATTGAACAAGCAACTTGAGACTATCGGATTAGCTGTCGTACCGCACCGTACCACTATTATAAGAATACATGTTCAATATGCTACATTGTACACACTATGAGTATTTTTTAAATATACTGCATTATAAGTTGAATATACTTCAGTGTACACAATATTATTACACGTTGATACAGTACATTGTACACAATTTGAGTACATGTTGAATATACAACAGTGTACACATTGGTACAAAAAATAAGCCAAGACACCGATTTACCCTGTGATTTATAAACCACTACACATTTTAATCTGTCCCTAAAAGACTTACACGACTCAAAGGTTAAAAAATAAACAAAAAACTCATTCCGTCATTAAACTCTATAACATATTCTCACAAAAATATTCGGTAGTTTTAGCAATACAAATCATTAGTTTTCGTTTTCTTCCCACAAGTCTAATAAAACTCTACTTCCGTCAAAACACCCCTAGCCATATAGGCCTATCACCTATATTACCAATCTGCAACTACAACAATAACCTCCCCCCCCACTCACATCCGCCCCCCCCCCCCCCCCCCCCCCAGGCCCATACTATCCACATTTGCAATCTGTCAGTGCATTTCCGCCCTCACGCTATCCTATTCAACAAAATCCCAATCTGGCTTGCAAAGAGCCTCATCCAAACGGTGATGGTTTCGGGATTGAATTCATCTGTTTGTAATGAAGAGCCGTATTGTCGCCTTCGGGTTTCTGTTCCATTCAATTTGTCATTCTACAGCCTTTGTGTCCTCGCTATATCTCTCTACTGTTCTATTCAGACTTGTCATTCTGCAACCTTTGTGTCCTCGGCATATCTCTCTGCCGTTCTTATAAGAAATATAATAAATGATTATACCTATACTCCTGCGTAGGCTCTAATCCCACTCATTAAAAGTGGCCCTACAAAAGGTTTAAGTCGAATATATATATATATATATATATATATATATATATATATATATATATATATATATATATATATATATATATATATATATATATGTTATATACATATATAAGAAATATAATAAATAATTATACCTATACTCCTGCGTAGGCTCTAATCCCACTCATTAAATGTGGCCCTACAAAAGGTTTAAGTCGAATCCCACAAACTACAAACGGATGTGTGAGGTCTATAAACATTTTCATAACAACCAAAACCCCATCTCCCAGAGCTTGACTTAATGAAGGGCACCTGCCCTTAAAGCCCTTATAGAGTTACCCCCATACCGTTAGTTACTATGACAACAACGAAACACTGGCTTAGCTGTGTCGTGATACAATTATCACGTGATACCCGCCTACATGTCTCAGCTTTATCTGAGGACGTCAAGGTCTAGGGATACTGGTTTGATGGTGTAGCTCATCAATGCTGATGTCTGTTTTACGAGAGAATCGATCCACGGGTCTATGCCGTCAACGTGGATGTCTTTTTTTACACGAGAATCGATCCACGGGTTTTACGATACTTTGTCAATTGCCCGGATAGAACACCTGGCTTTAGAAACAGTAAACACACGCAAGTCTAGGGTAGCTTCAACGCCTCAAATAGAAACAGATATTTGAAAACATTGGCCATGTCAACACATGATATTTTTCCAGTGGTTTGATACGTATTGATGACATTGGAAATAAAAGCCGCAACACGAAAAAACGCTTTAACCAGCTCTAGAGAAGAGGTTGAGCTTTCGAAAAAAAAGTCAAAAATCTAAATCTCTTTTAACAAGCACGTTAGGGAGAGCTTGTTGTATGTTAAGGATGGGAGCCGGAAAATCCTGATTACAACAACCCCCCCCCCTCTGCAACCTCCCACAGTAAAGTGGGCTGCGTGTTTTGCCGGGCTTGCAGAAGATCAAACTCCCCGGCTGAAATTTAGCGCTTGATTGGATACAAGCTAGATCATCCTCACAGCGAAAATAAAAATAAATTATAGGGCTCAGCTCAGAAACAGATGATGAATGTCGAACCTTCCATTGACGTTCTCTTGAATCATACACATGAGCGACATTAAGGTTGCACAATTGCCAACAAAAACTTTTTCCAGCAATTCAAATGTTTTTTTTTCGCCCATGATGCACATTTGGTATCCTGTAAGCTATAAGTTTACACTTTCTATTTATATTGCTTTGTTTTATTTTGATTTTGTACATTTCAGCATCCACCGCGGTCAAGTCAATGATCCCCCAATCTATTGAAATATCAGATTGATCCTGTCTGTTTCCTCTACTTGTCACTACCCCCCCCCCACTGTATTAAAATGTTTGAATAGTCTTGTATGTTTCCCCAACATCCAGTGTCCCTCTACCCCCCTCCCCCACCCCCCTTGTATTGAAATGTCTAAATGATCATGTTTTTTCCTCTACTTCCAGTGCCCCCCTACCATTTATTGAAATGTCTGAAGGATCCTGTATGTTTTCTCTACTTGCAGTGCTCCTCTCTCCCCACCCCCTCCCCCCACCCTCCATGAATTGAAATGTCTAAATGATTCTGTATGTTTCCTCTACTTGCAGTGCCCCTCTCCCCCACCCCCCACCCCCACGTCCCCCCTCCCCCTATGTAATGAAATGTCTAAATGATCCTGTATGTTTCCTCTACTTGCAGTGTCCCTCTCCTCCAAGACCGTCATCCCCCCCCCCCCCCCATGTAATGAAATGTCTAAATGATCCTGTATGATTCCTCTACTTGCAGTGTCCCTCCCCCCATGTAATGAAATGTCTAAATGATCCTGTATGTTTCCTCTACTTGCAGTGTCCCTCTCCTCCAAGACCGTCATCCCGTCCCACGTGTTCAGAACGAGGTGCCCTAACGAGACGTTCCCCTGTAGCTCTGACGGCATCTGTATCAACACGTCACTCATGTGTGACCGCATCCCCCACTGTAAGGATGGCTCAGACGAGGGCAGCCTGTGTAAGTACACCTGTATCACGTGATCTAGGCTTTCGTCACAATACAAAAGTTTACGTTTTTATAACTTGTCAACACTGTCACTACAACATTGATGTTTTTCATTCTTCAACACTGTCACTACAACATTGATGTTTTCTTCAACACTGTCACTACAACACTGATCTTTACTTACTACTACATTCTCCTTACAGCCTTTGATTTTTCTCCTCCAAACATTAAGACTCCGCTTTGTCTGAAGATGCGATCGACCAGCGTTTGACATTTGGCAACTCGTTTCATTATTCATACTTTAACATAACTAATTATTCTGAACATAAACATATGTATTTAGTTCACTAATTAGCCGTGTAACTATCTTTGCTATGATATTTACAACTTGTCTTCCCGGCTAGTTCCACAGTATGCTGCATATTTATTGTTTACATCCAGTGTGAGTTGAAGTCTAATCTGCCAGTGTAGTTTCACTCGTTTTAATGCATTAATTTTTAGTAATTAGTGTAGTTCTCCATCTGTGTGGTTTCTGTTTAATGGGATATGTCTGTTTTTTGTATGTCTGTGTGTTTTATGTTATAATGTGATATGTCTGTGTGTTTTTATGTTTTAATGTGATTTGTTCGTTTGTTTGTTTGTTTGTTGTTTAACTAAATGTGTTTATCTGCTTGCTTCTGAGCGTTTATCTGTTGTTTAAGTATCTTGTATCTATGTGTGTGTTGTTAAGTTTATGCTGTTTTAGTATGGCTTGTAACTTTAATTCCAGACAATGTTTACGTTAATTACAATCTAAAAATAGCTCCATTACTCACCTGTAGCCGAACCATAAGAAAGTGAATGCGCTAGACCAGCTGAATGCTAATTATGACATTCCACCGAATTAAAACTGCTCTACGGAAACCTGGTGAGGCTCGAGAGATCCGATTCAGATGTAGTATGTGTTCTCATTTTTTCTCTTTATACAGGGTTGGGTTTTTTGAAATCGTGAACGTTTTTTATATGATCAAATCGCGTCAATAGTAAAATGGATGGCTATTTATATGGAACTCGTTTTGAGATATCAGTGGTTAAGGTGTAGAGCGCACGCCTGTCGGACCGAAAGTTTAAAGGTCGTTAGTCCATTACGGCCACGGCTCCTTGAGCCCACACAACACTTATGGATAACTGTATTAAGTCAGGGGGAGTTAATGCAACTGGTTATCCCGCATGATTCCTTCATGTGCTGGCTTATCTTCACAACAAAAATAAACATTTTTGTTCTTGCTCTCTAAAATAAGCATCAACATTAGATATACTTCATGATCGGTATTTTAAGATGCTTTAAATTGGGTTTTTTTCCTAATGGAGTAGTTCGTCAACCATGTAGAAAAACGTCGTTAATAAAATTAATTTGTTTACCTGAGGTGGCACTATTTTTAGAATAAAGTAATTACAACAGAAACTAATTAGTAAGCTTGCGGGTCTAATGGATAATAAATGTAGTTTAATAATTTTGTATAATTAAATTTTTAAATGTGATTCAACGTACACAAAACATTAAATCAATTAATTACATTGAAATAGTTTGTTAAATGAGGAATCTAAATGATATTTTTTTCAAGTTAATGCGCAGCGACATAAAAAATCCTGATTGTAACATATTTTAATTCTTACATCTACCTGTTAATTAAAGTGTTGCGCCGTCGCTTATGTTGACATATTTATAACCAAGTACAACAACTCCTGTCAGCGGACAGGTATAAAAAGAAGAAAGAAACGTTTGTTTAAATATGAAGAATTTTTTTTCCCTTTACTTGCAATTCTTCTTGGCTTATTTCCCTTTATTTACACATTTCTTAATGTGCAATATATTATTGTATATAACCACATCTATAACTGTGCAGTATCTAGAAAACATTATTTACGTATGAAAAATTATACACAGTAAAAGCAATGTAGAAAACCAAGTTTTGGTCAAAACAAAAATCGAATAAAATAATATAATGTATTCGCACGTATAAACACTATAAAAATTAAAACAGAGTAGTTTCCCCTGATGTATCAAGTTACGTGAAAGTTGAATGAAGCCAAATATTTATTAAAACTGGGAAATTCCATTCACAAAGCTTCTTATCCATTTAAGCAACACAAGTTTTAATCTGTAGGCTTAACTTCAACCCACTAGATGTGAACTGGTTTAACGCTGGTTATAACATAAGGTCAACCGAAAATAAATTTATCGATATAATCTCATCAAGTTTCTAACAAACACGCTCACTGTCCGTTCGTGCACTTTGTCTTGCGCGTGTGCTTTTGTGTGTGAGTACCCTCTGCAACAACGTGACGAGTGTTTTGGGGTTATTAGCATGGTGTCTACGATAGGCCAAACACATACAGTGTGTTTGTCAGACTAAACACATACAGTGTCTACGTGAGGCTAAACACATAAAGTGTGTATGTCAGACTAAACACACAGTGTGGATGTCAGACTAAACACATACAGTGTCTACGTGCGGCTAAACACATAGTGTTTACAAGAGGGTAAACACATACAGTGTGTATGTCAGACTAAACACATGCAGTGTCTATGTCAGACTAAACACATACAGTGTCTACGTGCGGCTAAACACATACAGTGTGTATGTCAGACTAAACACATGCAGTGTCTATGTCAGACTAAACACATACAGTGTCTACGTGCGGCTAAACACATAGTGTTTACAAGAGGGTAAACACATACAGTGTGTATGTCAGACTAAACACATACAGTGTGTATGTCAGACTAAACACATGCAGTGTCTACGTGAGGCTAAACACATACAGTGTACGTGAGACTTAACACATACAGTGTCTACGTGAGACTAAACACATACAGTGTCTACGTGAGACTAAACACATACAGTGTCTACGTGAGGCTAAACACATACAGTGTACGTGAGACTAAACACATACAGTGTACGTGAGACTAAACACATACAGTGTCTACGTGAGACTAAACACATACAGTGTGTATGTCAGACTAAGCACATACAGTGTGTATGTCAGACTAAACACATACTGTGTGTATGTCAGAATAAACACATACAGTGTCTATATCATACTAGCCACATACAGTGTGTATGTCAGGCTAAACACATGCAGTGTCTAATGACCCATGGCACCTTCTAACAGAAACATATGGCTGGCATAATTCGTGCTTGTCTGGTTTCCGTGTCTAGTCACGATTTTCATTAGATTTACCGTGGTCATTAACAGTCTGCGAATAGCTGCAGGAACTGTACCGTCTTTCTGGGCTGGGTGCTGGTTTCTTTGGCTTAAAATAGCTGCAAACTCAGCTGCTTACTTAAGGACTGGGTACTAGATTTTATGGCTTATAATAGCTGCAGACTTTGCATCGTTCTTTAGGGCTGGGTACTAGATTTTATGGCTTAAAATAGCTGTAAGTGAACCTAAAACATCACAGTCGGGAGGATGAAATTATTTCAGGTACAAAGCTCGAAAACTTTAAACCAGACTTATGAAAACGAAGTTGTTGCGTCATTGAATTATAATTTTAAGAACAACCGGTTATTAAAAGTAAATTGGGTGGTAGCCAATTAGCATCAATCACTGGCGGGGGAATCCCCACTTGAACGCCGGTCTTAATTAAACGAGATTTGAGATCATTTAGTGCACCTTTAGTCAGATAAGTATTGACACAATTTTAGTGTCTGATACAGATATTAATTTTACTCAATTTTACTTGAAATCTAGGGATTAGTTTGCAAATTTACGTTCATTTTATTTTCTGATTTTAAAATTTCCCCGTGTTGTTTTTATATAGTTATTCAACAAGAAAATATTACAGTTATGTATTGTAAACAAGTTCTATTATTTCTTTCACCTTTTTGCTCGAGTTAAAAAAAAAGAAGACAAAGATGACAAGATAATACGGCCTCTGAAGCCCAGAAAGGTCTCAAGACAAGGGGTTTTCATGTGGACAAAATGTTTTGATCAATCGCTCAGTCCAGCAAATTACCTGTGTGCACTCGCCATCTACTTCCGGTTTCACAAGGCTGTCACTCGACCGTAAACCATTCCACTCCACATCATTACACTTATAACAGGCAGCCGTATAACAAACAGCCGTATAACAAGCAGCCGTATATTATTTTTACTTTCTCGTATATACGAAGTATAGAGAAAGTCTTGTAATCGTGCAAAAAAAAATCGAGATTTTTGCAAATCTTGACGTTTTACATCTCACTGATACGGAAAAACATAATTTTGCAATCTTGTCCGTATGTCTGTGTGTCTGTGTGTGTGTGTGTGTGTGTGTGTGTGTGTGTGTCCGTGTGTAAACACGATAACTTGAGTATCGTTACAGCTAGGTTGATGAAATTTCATATACAAGTATTTTATCAAAATCGTAGATCCGTATCAACTTTTGAGCGATTTCGGATAACCGGAAGTGGTACTTTTTCTACTTTGAATTTTTCAAAAGCCTATAACTTGAGTACTATTTCAGATAGATAGATGAAATTTGATATGTAAGTAAAAGATCTAATTCTCTACCTTCTGTCAAATTTTGAGAATTTTTCGTTGACCGGAAGTACTTATTTACGCTAATTCCGATTTCTCAAAAACTAATGTAAATTTTAAAAGTACTAATAATATTGCGCACTATTATGCGCTTTTTTATTCGCGTTCACTTGGTGTGCAATTAATTTGTCTACGAGATTTTATTCTATTTTTAAAACTTTAAGTATTTAAAATGGATTAAAAATCATGTCTATAGCCCGAGTTCCCATCCCCTGTTATTTTATATAAGAATATTCGAGAAAGTTTAGGGGAGATCACTCCCGGTTTATTTAAATAAAGGTTGTCAAAAAAGAAAAGAAATTTCGCTGTCTGAAATAGGCCATCTTCCAATAACTTTGGACTACAGTTGCAATATTAATAATAATTTCAACTCCATATCATTAGACGTCTAACTAGCAGCTGTATATACATACATACATATATATATATATATATATATATATATATAT